TCAAGAACTAATGTTTTCAGGTACAGTTTTTTCAGAGGACAGACAAACTATGTGCACTGTAGCATCAATATTACGATTCAGAATTTATGGACTATGTATGTTTGTGTTGTCCTGACCTGGTGAATTCTCATGTGCAGATGAACTGCAGCTCCCACCAACCACTGCTGCATGGACACTGAGCTCATTCTCTTCTTCGTGGTCATTCTCTCATAATGGTCCAATGAGCTCCAGTTTGAGCCAGGAGTCAAAGACCTCTGTGGTCTCGGCCATCTTTCTGGGTCGTTGGCAATGCCGGGGATCAGCAGAGGTAGCTGTGCACAAGCCAGCCAATTCGTGAAGAACTGCTGATGCAAAAATCCTCTTAGCCTGGGGTCTCTGAGTCGACACGTCACCCTCTGTTGATCCATGCGCCCGGACCTGGCAGGGTGACAGAAAATGTGAAAGTCTGGGTTTCACTTCTGTTTTAGCATTCTTTGTGAAAGGTAAGCCTTAGCTACTGCCATTTTACAACATTTAAAGGAATGTTAGGTTGGGAAGCTTAAATGCTGTTACAGTGCCATACTACTAAAGTAAGAACAAGCTTTATGCATGCATAGGAAAATATGAAATGAAACCAAAATACAAACAATAGACAAAGCAAAAAAAGTTTAAACCCACTTGTTGGGCAACCTGGTCGAAAAGCATGGACAGAGCCAGAGCAACGAGCCCGACTCCTCCATGTGGACCCGGCTGCTGCCTCCAAGCTCTCCGCTCAGACTGAGGCTGAAAGCAGTCTGCTGCTCGCTGCTCATGCCCGCTGCAAGAAGGCATATTGATGCTGCAGTGCTGCCGACGAGTCCAGAGAGAGGAAAGTAGAGATGACAGGATCTAAGGAGATATCTGGGATGATGCTGGCATCTCGAGCCACAGAGAAAGCTCCTGGACAGTGGCTGGAGCGGGGAGACACAAACTACGACCCATCAGGATCATGGCGACATCTGCCAGTCTAGACAGAGTGTGGTGGTGTATGTGTGTGTATGTGTGGGTGTTTGCAGGTCTGCTTGTTATCTGTGCTTCTGACCCTCTGTGTATATAGTTGAGTCAAGAGGTGTTATCTGCATTACGATCTACCAAAGCATTCATAACAGAAATACATAACCCACACGTTTCAAGTTATTGCAAAACAGACATTTCAGGAATATTAGCCTTATTTTGTGGCTGTTTGTGCATTTTCATAAAGGTAGTTGACTTTTTTTTGTGTGTTTGGTAAGTGACACAGCTGAGACGGTAAACTTACATTTCAATGATTATTTGATATTAAATTGTAGTTGCATGTTTTTCTCGTCCTGTCAGCCTCTCATTTCAGACCCGAGCCAAAATTTGTATCCTTAGAAAGGGGACTGAGCTGCATGTGTTAAGGCAGCATTATACTTCAAAACCTGTATTTAAGTTTCGAGAGTGATTCATATCAGAAGTGCACTCTGTAGCATCTGAAAACACATCCAAAACCAGCATGTTTTCTGTGTCATTCTTTCTCACTCTGTTAAATATTCCCTCTCCTGCCAAAGGCTGAGAGTGAAGGATTTATCCGAGTGGCTCAAAGCATTAAACACATTCCTATGAAAAAACAACAACATAAAAAGTGTGACAGGGTTTTTGATTGGGCTTTATCAACTGGTGCTTGGACTGTATTAATTACCTGTTCAGTGTAAAGGATAAATTGAACCAAATCACAGCACTTTTTGTGGTTCGAAAGGCGTTTTAAACCGAGACACAACCACTGATCATTAACCTTAAAGTCAACAAGCAAGCAGTCAGCTCACTGTGAGAATATTTACTCTGTTTGCCGTTCAGTCCACTTATCAAAGATCAAAATGAATTTTAAATTAAACCAAGTCAAACTGAAAAATAGGGAAAAAAATGAATGAAAACAAAAAAACACCAAATGTAAAAGTTATTAAGCTTCAAGAACTTCCATATTTTCCAAAACTTGCCAAGTTTGATTTTTGAAATATTACTTAAAGTAATTCCTTTCAACCTTTGGGAAATTCCTCAGGATGTTTGTTTCTTCCATTAAGTTATGCATTGTTTGAGCAGAGACTGTAAACATTATTTAACACCCATCAGAGTAGATATTTAGAATACACAGTGACACTCCAAAATACAGTGAAATAGATAAATAAGCAAATTTAAACAAACTTGATAAAGAATCTTATTAATTGAGTCATTCTTAAATGACTAATATGAGAACTGCGAACTCCCACTTAGTTTCTGAACTGTAGTGAGGAAGTATAATGTAAAGAGACAAGAGATTAAAATACTGAGTTAAAAAAAAACAAAAAAACATCAAAGTAGTGATTGAGTGCATGTATTAAAATTCAACCACAATCCAAAACAGAATCATCTGTTAACATTCATGAACTATGTGTTATGAAGGGACGATGAAGGAATGATTTATCATTATTGTTATTATTACAACAACTTTTAGTGTTATTATTATTATTATCATAACAACTTTTAGTATTATTATTATTATTATTATCATAACAACTTTTAGTATTATTATTATAACAACTTTTAGTGTTATTATTATTATTATCATAACAACTTTTAGTATTATTATTATTATTATCATAACAACTTTTAGTATTATTATTATTATTATTATTATCATAACAACTTTTAGTATTATTATTATAACAACTTTTAGTATTATTATTATTATTATTATCATAACAACTTTTAGTATTATTATTATTATTATTATAACAACTTTTAGTGTTATTATTATTATTATCATAACAACTTTTAGTATTATTATTATTATTATTATAACAACCTTTAGTGTTATTATTATAACAACTTTTAGTGTTATTATTATTATTATCATAACAACTTTTAGTATTATTATTATAACAACTTTTAGTGTTATTATTATTATTATCATAACAACTTTTAGTATTATTATTATTATTATTATAACAACCTTTAGTATTATTATTATAACAACTTTTAGTGTTATTATTATTATTATTACTACAACTATTATTATTATTATAACAACCTTTAGTATTATTATCATAACAACTTTTAGTATTATTATTATTATTATTATTATTATTATCATAACAACCTTTAGTATTATTATTATAACAACTTTTAGTGTTATTATTATTATTATTACTACAACTATTATTATTATTATTACTACTACAAATATTATTATTATTATTATCGTTATTATTATTATTATCATTACTACTACAACTATTATTATTATTATTGTTATCGTTATTATTATTATTATTATTACTACAACTATTATCATTATTATTGTTATTATTATTATTGTTGTTGTTTTTGTTGCATGTCTGATGTCTTTCGTGTCTCGCCGTACGGTCACTTGACACTGTCGTTCGCTACATGACGACATGCGACACCGACTGATCCTTGAAAATTAGTCCTTGATGCGGATGTAAAATAGCCTGTTGACGTTAACTAGCCTTCCTGTCCACAACTATCCTTTTCGCTTGAAAGTTTCGCTTGAAAGTTTGTCCATACAACAACAACAATAACAACAACAACTGTGTTCCCTCTTTGAGTTAAAAGAAAAAGAAAGTGAGGAAATGTTCCCAGACTTCCGGGTCGTCATTATGATACGTCACGGTCTTGACCCTGCAAAAAGCTTCGTCATCTCACAGAACAGCAGCGAAGAGGAGGTCTCCTGTCCGTGCTTGTGATCGGTGAAAACACAATAGGTGAGTAACTAAGCAGCGCTTGTGTGAACATAGCATGTTTAATGTTAACATTAAACGAGTGTGCATTGTTTTACTCTCCAAACTAACTCTGTAGCTGTAGCTATGGAAACCAGCTAACTAACCTACAGGTAGGGTGACGAATCACAGAAACATGAAATAAAGGAGGAGAGATTCATATCGAGGGGTTGTTTACGGGTCAGGCGCCCTTCATACAAAGCAGGTTGTCACACCTGCGTGGGCACAATCCTGTGCATGGTATGTTTAGTTTTCTCGGAAGGTATTAGCATTACACTGCTTTGTTTGAATGAGGGACTATCTCTTTGATAAGAAACGTGTTTACCCTTCACCTGGAGACTGAACGACCTGACAGGTAGCACACCTGGGCTGAGCTGCAGGCTTGATGTAGAGCAGGGATGGGGCAACTTTGGTGACAGCAAGGGGCCACATTCATTTAATTCTCACTGCCAGAGGGGCCAAATTGTAGGATACAAAAACGATTACAGTCAATTATGTCTCAAATGTAACTCAACATGTAAAAGTGATCAAATATTATTATGGACATATTTCTGGTTTTCATGATTTCATGGCAGATTTCGTCATGTTTTCTTCATGTTTCCAATTAATTGATATGTAAAAATTGACCTGAGGGCCACGTTGATGGTTGATGGCCCCCGGGGCCCCTGTTGTAGAGTAACACCTTTATTACACACTTTATGTTGTGTTTTCCTTTGCATTGTTAAAGCCATATGACGACGGAGACCTAGATAAATTACCCAACCGCTGCTAACTTTTCAATATTACATGTGCGATAACTTTGTAATTCACTGCTTTACAATTGTCTATTTATTTACTCAGTCATTGCACTTTAACTTTAACTGTCTATTTATTTATTCATTCATCCAGTCACTGCAAAATAATAACTGTGTATACTCTGTCACTGCACTATAACTATAACTTCACTTATTTGCAGTATATCTCTATATTTATATTTGTTTAATTAATCAGTCACTGCAAAATAATAACTGTATATATTCTTTCAGTCACCATGACTGTCTATTTATTTATTATTATTATTAATATTATTATTATTATTATTATTCATTCACTGAACAGCAATGGCTCTGGACACTTTTTACATGCTTCTCTTTCATATCACCACAAATATATTTTTGTTGTTGTTTTTGTAAACGCTGCTGTTTAGGATTGCTGCTAACGAAGTTTCGTTGTGTCCTTTTTTTGTTACAATGATAATAAAGATTCTATCTATCTATCTATCTCAAGTAATTGATAGATTAATAGTTAATTAAATCCTTCCCCCAACACTCTGATCCACACTGGATTGTTTTGACTAAGCTGGATCAGGGTCCAAACACTCTCACGTTATCTGCTGGCATTTCTTACTAAGAACTTCTAAGAAATTACTTTGTGGTGATTAAATGTGTATGGATTTAAGCGTCTGCTAAGTGAACTACTTAGTGGGTTTCTAGGTAATATTGAGGTGAATAAGTGATTATTTACGACCCAGTAGTTAGAGACTCTCTGGACTTGGACTGGTTCATTCCTTAGTTGTATACTACAGCGTATCTGTTAGATAAATAACATTGTAGTGTAAACTATGTGTCTGTAATTTATGTGATATATCCATTGTTATACAGCTGTACTACACAACATGTTGTGTTGCAATTCACCTCTACATGTCAGCTTTATATGATGTGTGCAGGATACATCATATAGTATAATCTAATACAGTATCCCGGACTGTGTTATGATTTTTCCAAGTTGTTTTAATTTGATTATATGATCTTATTAAATTTGTTATATTGCTTTATTAATACAGACAGAGGTATCATAATTTAATTAAATCCTATGATTCTGGTGTAAAACTGTTTACATAGACCAGTGGTTCTCAACTGGTCTAGCCTCAGGACCCACCACCAACTCCTTCATGAAAACCAGCAACACAGATTTCTGATATTCTTCAACCAATCAGATTCATTTAATGAATAAGTGAACAGTTTGGACCTCAGACAGTACAAAACATGTGACAGAATAAAGCTAACGTAGACTTTCTGACACAACTTTTCGCGCCCCACTGAAAACGGCTCCGGGACCCACTTTTGAGTCATGACCCACCAGTTGGAAAACACTTTTCTAGACTACCTGAATTACCACTGTCATTTTGCATCATAGTTTTGTCTTGAGTAGCTCTTCTAAAGCATCTTCTTTTTTCTTATTTCCTACTTTTATCTTATTTCCTGCTTAATTGTTTAGCACCAATACAACAAGTCAAATTCCTTGTGTAAATGTACTTGGCAATAAACCCTGATTCTGATTTTTTTTTAACCATTTTTTTTTTCTTATTTCCTTTTCACATTCCACTTTATGTATTCTTTTTTGTTTTTAATATTATTTAACATCATTTTTAATATCTATATCTTGCCCTGGTGCAACCTCCACATTTTAACCCTACACTCACTTTTATCTCTGCTTTTGGTCTCCACCAGCTTCTGCTGTGTATTTCTGGCCTTTTAGCTTCTACTCGCTCCACTATGTGCACCAGTGAGTTTTTTGAGTTTCTCTGTCCGCTCTCTAGTGTTTTGTTAGTTTGTCGAGTCATTTTTTGGATGTATTTCTCTTTGAACACTTTAAGCTTTACTATCTATAAATGTTTTGCAAACAACTGCAATTAAATGTAAATTCCAGACAACATGACATGTGACATGTTTAGGCCTTCCTTTGTCCAAGATGTAAGATTTTTGCATATGAGATAGGGCGAGTAAACTGTAATAATCTAAAAATATCACGCTCTCACCGGGCAGACAGCAGTGTGGGCGGTACCTCAGTGCACACAAACAAAACTAACATCCACCACAACGACTAGAAGATTATTTCTTCATTCCAGGTTGTTCAGCATCATGAGTCAGCGGACGGAGCGACGGGGTATACATGTGGACCAATCAGACCTACTGTGCAAAAAGGGATGCGGTTACTATGGTAACGCAGCATGGCAGGGCCTGTGCTCCAAGTGCTGGAGGGAGGAGTACCAGCGGGTACGGCAGAAACAGATCCAGGACGACTGGGCCTTGGCAGAGAAGTAAGACCGTCTGTTGCATGAATGCATTTACCGTCTGGGTAGAAAAGAAGTTACATTTTATATTTTTTTCGGGGTAATTTTCACCACAGCATATTATTAGGATAAGATACATTTGTGATGAGTGAGTTTTCCTCTGTAAGATAAAGACGTTGGTACAATCATGATCATTTTTTCTATGTAAATGTCCTTGGCTTCAGGTTGCAGCGAGAGGAGGAGGCAGCATATGCAAGCAGTCACGGAGCACAGACGCAGTCTCAGCCTCAGTCCGCAGCTCCGCAACCTCACCCAGGACACGCCTCGCTGGGACCCTTCTCCAAGTTCGAGGAGAAGAAAACCAATGAGAAGACTCGGAAAGTGACCACCGTTAAGAAGTTCTTCAGCCCTTCATCACGCACTGCCCCCAAAAAAGGTGACAGATTTACAGAAAAACAACATTTATTGATTGGACTTTGTTGTCTGAAGTTCGACCTGCGTCACAGCAGCTCCATTCACAACATTCCCCTGTCAGTCTGTGTTCAATGATAACGTTTCACACACATTATAAATAATAAAACTAGAAATTACCAAATTTCATTTAGCTACATCAGTTTTCATTTAAGCTCATGGTCACACCATCATGATGAAAAAAAAGCTCCTGCTGAATCCTCTAAAGCTCCATTTTTAACGTCTTTGATCTTTTTTGAAGTCTGATTTGGCTCGTCGGCTTTGCCACATGTTGCAGATGTTATTAAAACGTTGATTTTTCCTCAACAGATTCCCAAGAAGGCAGGACACCCAGTCCGTCTCTTAGCCGCCATGCTAGCTTCGAAACAGACCAAGTGTCCAAGGACTTTATGGACTTCTTGAAAAACCTCCAGAAGCCGGGTCGGGAGATCCACAAGCAGTCCCGAGCGTTTATTGTGAACATGTTGAGCAAAAAGGTCTGTTGTGCTTTTAAATAAAAAGGTTAAGTGGTGAATGTTGATCATGACCTGATCAGCACTTCGAACTCTCGTTCTTTTCAGGACCTGAGTGCTGACGAGCTGTCCGAGTGTGTTCAGGATTTCTACCAGAACATGGCCGACCGCTTGATGAGCCACTTTAAAGGTTGGTTTGCAGAACTCGCCGGCTTTTAATAACATTCAACAATCATTTCCACTCCTCAGGTCCTATTTTATCGGACTTTTTAGGAACCACATCAAGTATTTTCCGCTGAGTATGGAGGCTGGATTACACATAAAGTCAGTTGACAGATAGGCATCACCCTGAGCGGATTAATGTATTCACTCGAGCTGACAAAACTGAAGTTGCAGAAAAAGAATCTGCATGATGTTTTCTTTGCTATGATCTAGCATTTTTAAGCTCGCATTAGAAAAGTTAGATCTGAACTCCAAATAACAACAAAAGCATTTTAAACTTAAATGAATACTTTTCAGAGTGCTCATGATGTTATCAGTTCGGACATTTTGTCCCCATGTCATGAATAATGATTCATTAGGCTGTGTGGGTTGTGCAATAGCGTCAAGGTGTTCCTATATGTTTTATATTCTTTTATCTTTGTTGTCTTATCCCTCATGCTGGTTTTTTTTCACATCTTGTGCAATCATGGGTAATGTGAAATATATGTTGTGTTGTTTTGCATTGGTATGTGTCTTTCTGTTTACTTGTGGAGGTGTTTCTCTTAATGTTTTTTTTATGATTATTATAATTATTGATTTGAGTGGAAGCAGCTGAGTGTTTGGCAGCACTTTGAGTTCAAGATAAAATTCCCCAAGGGGACGATAAAGTGTATCGTACCCTACCGTATCGTATCCCTTTTAAAAGTTCATGCAGTCAAAAATCACAGCAAAACCTTTTCATATTTACCCACATTCAGGCAATGATTCAACTTAAAAAAAAAACTGCAGCTTTAACTGATGCTGTCTGTTAAACCCTTTACTCACCAGGCTCTTCAGAGTCTGTGGAGCAGGTGATGGACCAGGTGGAGAAGTTCATCATGACTCGACTGTATAAGAGCGTGTTCTGTCCTGAAACCACCGACGATGAGAAGAAGGACTTGGCCACACAGAAGAGGATCAGGTGGGCCTCACAGGATTCAATGACATTGTTTAGATGAGTGTGATGGTTGTGGCTCAGTGGAGGTACAGGAGGGGTTTCTTTTTTCCCCTCACTGAGTGCAGTGAAAAGCCTTTTGAGTCGTGCAACTTATTAAATACCATCCCTTTGTTTTCCAGGGTAAACAAAGAGTAACTTTTAATCCCTTTGTATTTCAGGGCCTTACACTGGGTGACCATCCAGATGCTCTGTGTTTCTATGGATGAAGAAATCCCAGAAGTGTCCGAGAATGTGGTCAAAGCAATAACAGGTCAGAGTCAACACTTTAACCTACTGTTTCACTGCATTTCATAAGTCCAACTAAAAATAAACTGCATGTTTTTTTTTCTGCCGCGGCAAAGATGTTTGTTCTGTAAACCAGATGTACTGTGTTCTGTTTTACATTTTCGAAACCAAAAGGGATTGATTAATATTCCATATTAGTCACAAAGTTAGTTTTCTGAGTATGTAGAGGAAAAGATACCATACTGGCATGAAGCTGTCATGTGAGTCTATGATGAGCAGAACAGATGGTCACACTGAGCCGGAGAGCAGCTTGTTAGACTAAACAACACTCTGAACAACAAACCGCAGTGTGCTGAAGTTTCCTTCTTTTCAGACTTAAAAACATGAACAACTTTGTGTGCTGTAGCTGAGGTTGTTGAACAAACAAACAAACAAACAAACAAACAAACATCAATGTACTCAGCTGAAGCACATTGAAAGGAACATGCTCGTTGCTAAGATAAGATAAGATAATCCTTTATTGGTGCAGTAAAAGACAAGAAGAAGAGCGTACTACATACAGTACTACAGTGTGGAATTACACTGATGTGAACCTTGCTGATCAAAACTAAAGCTAACAACATACTATCTTCTAACGACACTCCCCTCCAGATTGTTGTGATGAAAGGTAGCATCTCTTATATTTCCCTAAATACCTCTATTCTGCATTTAAGGTAAAAACAAGTGTTGAAGAAAATTACATTTTTACTCTGCTTAAAGGAACATTGTGTAGCTGCCATGTGGTGCGTGTTACGACTGAAGATAAATTATTCATTGATTGGATGCAAACTGTGAATAGGCATATTTACATTTTTACATATTTACACATATTTACATTTTAACTTTGACGTGGAACCACAAACACACAAAAAGCCATTGAGGTGGTGGCAGTAATAGATGTTATACAGACGAGTAAATAGCTTGAAAAGAAGGTGAGCAGGGCTGCATGTACCAGCAGTGATGAGCCGGATATTTTGTGCATCATCAATTTGTCTTTAAAAAATCAGCATCAAAGTTTTTAACAAAGCCAGAGGAAACATTTTTAATCAAACAGTAAAAGCTTAAAAAGTCTTAAATCTACGCCCGCAGAGGAAAAAGAAAACCTCTGAGCAGCTGAGAACTTTTTTTAACAGGACATTAAGTTGTGATTTGTTTAACCTATCAAACTCATGAATTGTTTGTATATTTATTTGTGTTTCAGATATCATTGAGATGGACTCAAAGAGGGTTCCTCGGGACAAACTTACCTGCATCACAAGCTGCAGTAAACAAATCTTCAGCGCCATCAGGACTACAAAGAACGAGCCGGCCTCTGCAGACGATTTCCTCCCTGCACTCATTTACATCGTACTGAAGGCCAACCCTCCACGGCTTCAGTCCAACATCCAGTACATTACCCGCTTCTGTAACCCCAGCAGGCTGATGACCGGGGAGGACGGATACTACTTCACCAACCTGGTCTGTGTCTTTTTTTTTTCAGAGCTACATTTCAAAAGTTAATCACGATTAATCACATTTTAACTTGTATGTTTAAAATTCTATTATTTCACATTTAAAAATTAAAATTGTTTGACTTTTATTTTGAATGTTTTTCCTGTCTTAAGCTAAGAGTACGTTACCTGCTGTTTGAATTCAACCCTGCTTTTATTTTGAAATAAAGTAAGGAACTTCTGGTAGATCGAAGGTTACGACATTCACTTAACAACAGAAAAAGAAACTCATTTTGGATCAAGAACTAAATGAAAAAAGCTCAAAGGAACAGTACAAAGTAAAATGTCTGATGTCATGAGATGGATATTACTTTTGACTCGTCGACTGAGCTGAGCTTTTGAAAATAGAACTCCGATGATCCAACTTGTGCAAAATAATTCCCCTGACATGCATTAAAGCTAAAGTCTCCTAACTCAAATTTGAGAAGTAGAAAGCGGAGGTATTTGTGTAAACATGTAGGGAGTAGAAAATTAAACATTTTCGCTAGAGAAACCGGAAAACTACTTAGGTACAGCTAAGGGGTATTTTGACTTGATAACTTCCCTCGACAGTAGAAAAGTAGAAAATAATAAAATAATTTAACTTCACTTTTCAGGGGCTTTTAAATGGAAATGTGTGAATGGGTTTACAGTCAAACTGGGAAAACTTAAAGCTACCAGTCCCAACGATCTTAGTCAGACACGTAACCCCCATTAAACACTTACATTTTCTCATAAATGTTAAAAAACAAGATATTACATGGAAATATTGAGCTGTAGATGTATTGGCCAGTATAAAAGTCTACTTTCCCCTACATGAAAATGCATGACCTGACTTAGCACCAGTTCCAGAGCTAAAACGATCCTTTGTGGGAAAGCATTTTTTTTTTTTTACCTTTGGAAGAGCCAGGTTAGCTGGATCCAGTTTTTATACTAATCCAGGTAAACAGGTTTCAGGACTACGCTTTGTTTAAATGAACAGATACGATATCCAAGATCTTTTTATCAAACTAATTGCTATGTAGTACGTACATAAGCATGTAGTTCAAAATGTCAAACTATTGATTTAATATGGAGGCTGTCCGTCTCAGTATGACTCAGGTGGATGCAAATATGCTTTCAGAGTCCTCATGTCTATCTATTGCTTTTTTTGTTTTTCAGTGCTGTGCTGCGGCATTTATTGAGAAGTTGGACGCTCAGTCACTAAACCTTTCCCCAGAGGAATTTGAGCGCTACATGTCTGGGCAAGCCTCTCCGCGTATCAACAGCTCTGACGGTGAGTGGCCCGGCGCTGGCACTGCACAAGATGTGGCTGCCACTAACCCAGTCCTGGCTCAGCTCAATCACAACCTGGAGCTGCTGTCGGGCCTCAGCAGCCGGCAGGAGTCGGTGATGGAGGCTGCTCAGAGCCTGCAGGCTGACCTCCTCGCCTGGCCTGTGGCTGTGCAGAAGGAGGTGCACGACATCCTGGAGAAATACCCTCTAGAGATTCTGCCTCGTAAGGTTTCTGCCATTGATGCCAACAACATGGACAATGACAACCTGCCACCGCCACTCACACCCCAGGTGTTTGCTGGGTAGTGGAGTTCTAACTTCATTTTAAATACAGAAAGGGTACTTTTCTGCCGTCTAGAGTCAGCTCATTTCCTGGTATTTCATTTTAACGGTAACACTAATCCTGAATAGTTTGGAGCCTTTTCTTGCTGAGCTTGTTTTGCACCTCAAACACACACCAGTATTTATTTCAGGAAAATCAGAGCATGATGGAGATTAGTATGCAGGGTTAAAATACGCCGCCTCGTTCTGTCCCTGGTTTATTTTGACCTTCAGATTTGGGCCTGGACTTGCAAAACTGAAAAACTTAAAAAGTCTAAAAAAAACAAAAAACAAATCAAACTAAAAATTGAATAAAATAGAATACAAATTGTTCCACTCATTTAATTTCAATTTATACATAAATAATGTGTGCAAACATAAACAAATAACATGAAATAATGCTTTCTTTTACTCAGTATGTATTTATTAAATAGTATTTTATGCTACTTTTATTTACTTTTTAGAACTTTACATAACTAATCTTTGCTCAGCTTTGACATGTTTTTAAAGAACTTCCAGTCATGGATCCCATGAACTGGTCCCACTCGTACACACACTATGCACTGACTGGTCCGTTGACTTTTCTCAAGTTTTGACTAATTATAGTGCTTATCGTTTAATAGAAGAAGTTCTGTACTTTCCTCTACTGTAGCTGTTTTTGTTTGACGTGTTTATAGCATCATGGCATTTTAAATGGTCCGTACCGTAGATTTGAAGCTATCGTAGCTTATTTAATTTTATAGCTCCTATTCCATTTTATTTAAACTTTTTCTGTTGAAGTAAAAATGCTTTAAAGTGGTTTGTTTTGTAGACAGTTTAAACCTTCGGTCCTATTAGCAACCACACTGACAAGTCGGCTAACTGACTGTTGTATGACAGCATAGCTAGCTACTTTGGGTGCTTCATTCAGCTTATAGTTTAGTAAGCATATGAATTATGCTAGCAGGGTTTCCCGCCTTTTAGATGTTAGATGTTACTTGCTAGCTGAGGACCTATTGTCCCAAAAGCAGTCTAAATAAATGTATGTATGTTGTCAGAAAAGGAAAACACGTTTTTTTTTATACTGTGTTAGTTGTAAAATAAACACTGCGCTTAATAATCAAATGTAACCTGCTTACAACACATGAACTGCAGCTGATGTTAGCCTGCTGAAAAAACTGTGTTAGCCTTTAAAAGCATGAGGAACTGATAACAATATAGATCCTCTCAAATAAAACATAAACCTCTCTTTTGTTGTTGGCAACACGTTTGAGGTTAAAGAGAATTTTGTCAGCCTAAACTCTTGATTTTCAAAAGTAAAAGATGAATAAAATAAACAAGTTTTTTATTTATTTTTTTAAACTAATGCAGTACAATAATAATAATAAAATACACAACACCCTCTAATGCATAAAGTTCATATTAACCAGCTAATGTTTAGTATCAGCATTAGGCTAGATGCATTATTGTGACCCCTGTTGTCTGTGAAAATGATAATGTAGGTTGCAGATGTCTTTAAAAAAAGACTGAAGATAAAGTTTTTTCCAGTAATACTTGAAAACATTCATATATTTCACTACTTGTGTGACTTTTTTGAATTTTCATATCATGTGTTTTCTTTCACAAACCACATTTCATGTTTTGTGCAGATGCAGGTAACCCACAAAGAAATAACAGGTTTTTACAACAGTTATAAACTTGTACTGTATATTTATAAAGCGTTTGAGTTTCTGTTTGAGTTATAGAAACATTATTCCATTTCTTGTTATGCCTTAT